GCGAGAAATTTATACCCACTTGAAGGTTCATGGTACTTGCTAACCAATTATAACTGTACTAATAACCCTACTTCTCATACCCCTAAAGGGCCTTCTAGGGGATATCCCGATTAGAAGTAGGGTTATAAGCTCAGCTATAAGTGGTTAATAAGTCCCATGAACCTCCAAGCAGGAGCTCGAGGGATGAAACGGAATCGGCCTGCTGGGCGGCCTTGCCACGTGCTGCAAGGCCCCGGGCGGCAAGTGAACGGGATCCTGTTGCCAGGAGATGGGGTCAAAAACCGCTGAATCCTAGGTGAAAACCGAAAGCCCTAGCCCTAAACCCTCAACCTCCTAAAAACCCTAAAAGCCCTAAACCCTAAAAACCCTAACCCCCCCAAAACGCTAAACCCCTTGAACCCCGAAACCCAGCCTCCTGAATTCCCTGGCCAAAGAAGAGGGCGGCTGCATGGGAGCGCGCTGGAGACGCGTTCTGGCGCGCTGGAGCTTGGAATGTTTCGGGGTTTAGGGTTTAAGATTAGAAGGGTTTAGGATAAGCGTTTAGAGCTTAGGGCTTAGGGATGAGGGTTTTAAAGCTACGGATTTAGAGATGAGGGTTTGGGGCTTATAGGGTTCGGGGTGTCGCGTTTGGGGCTCAAAGTTTGGGATTTGGGGTTGGGGGCTTGGGCTAACTTAGTGTGTTCCCGCGCCCCCGCCCTCCCTCTGACCAGTCGAAGCTTGCTTTCGCTCTGTTCAGACCGGCGATTTACATGAGGAGTTTATGTTCATGTGAGTTTAAAAGAGACAGTGAGGCCCAGCAAAATTGAGTTTAAAGGCGAGCTGCGCGAAATTGTCTTACGACACCCGGACGATTTGACTTCATCGCGGACCCCACTCGCTACCCCCAAGCAGCCAGGGTGTCCTGAATAGCCCAGCCAACTGGACTTTTTTGAGGGGACCCCTATCCACCCTAAACCCTAAACTCTAGACCCTAAACCCTAAGCCCTAAACCCTTTGGTTTCGGGTTTAGAGTTTAGGGCTTAGGAACTTCGGGGAATTTTGTGGCGTCGACGGAGGGGTTGGGGAGGCCCCTCTGGCAGAAGCCTGGCCTCCAACCCCATATGAAGCTGACCCGAAAAGAGCAAAAAAGCACATGAGCAAAAAGTAGGATAAGGATATCCCATATAGACCCCCTTATAATGAAGCCCAATAAGGTAGGAACATCCTTATAAAATGCTTATGCTTATGTCCTTTTTGAGTCCCTAAGTATTTGCTGTTCTGCCAAAAAAAAACAGGGGACCCCCGAATAGTAGGATCCCCCTTAGAACTAAGGACCCAAGCCCCTGTTTGGGGCTCTGGCAAAATAGGGGGTACCCCGACGAACCCCAGTAATCCTGAGAAAAGAGGAACTCCTACCCCCTCCCGATTCAGCCCAGAAATGATTGCATCAGGTTTGGGGTACAGGGTTTAGGGTTTAGGGTTTCTTGAGGAATGCTTTTGGCCCCAGGTATCCTAAAGGGCCCAAGTCTCCGAAAGGTCCCTGCATACTTCAAGGTGCATTCCCGAAATAAGGGCTTGGTGTGATTCTTTACAAAATCTCAAAACCTTGAAAGCGAGGCCCGAAAACTGATGAACACCCCTGGAGTGGCTTCTAAGCCCTCAACCTTAAACCCTAAACCCTAAACCCTAAACCCTACGTCCCGAATTCCTGAGACCCCGTCATGGCGGCCGCCCCCACGGCTACGGAGATCGCAAGCAGCACGCTGCTGCCTGCAACGACGGTTTAAGGTTTAAGGTTTAGGATTTCTAGCGTTAACTTCACTGGAACTGCTTGGCAAGAATGAAGGAATGGGGTACAGTTGTTATGTGTTTATGCTCCATTCCCTCGTTGCCTATAGAAACCATCAGGAAGGTCCGGGCTTTCGGGTTGTCTGGCATCTTAAGGTTAAGGGTCCAGGATTTAGTGCTTAGGGAGTCTAGATTTGGCGTTTATGGTTCTGGGCATGTCGCCTCTCCTCCCGAAGACAACAAAACTGAGGGCGACGCGCGATGGAGCAGCTGGGGCTTAGGGTTTAGGGTTTGGGCTTGAAGCAACGAACAGCTGAACTCTTTAGTTGTTGCACTGGACGCTGTGGATGCAGCATGTTAGCCTAAACCCTGAATCCCTGAATCCCAAACCCTGAACCCTGAACCCTGAACCCCAAACCCTCAACCCTGGACCCTGGACCCTAGACCCTAAACCCTAGACCCTAAACCCTAAACCCTAAACCCTCTCTTGAATGAATGAAACTTCGGGGTCTCCCTCCCATACGGCCTGCCTTTGCCGATCCCGCTCCAGGACTTCCTCACTCTGGAAACGATTGGAGGAGGAAACCACCTGCAAGAAGCAATGACGTAGGGTTTAGGTTTAGGGTTTAGGGTGTAGGGTTTAGGGTTTATAAGGTTTAGGGCTTATCGTCATGCACGCATCTCACGGGTACGGGAAAGCTCACAGCAGCCCGCTGCCAAGCATCCCCATCCGACTTGCCAGCAGCCCGACTCCCCAACCCCTAAACCTCCCAAACCCTAAAGCCTGCAAACCTCACAAGCCCCACAAACCCCACATCCTTGAGCCCTAAGAACTGACTCCAAGCCCCCTAATATTCAACCCCCCCTCCCCTACCCCCTGATAATAAATTGAATCCTCCCATTGTGGTTGTATTGTAGTGTATGGGTAGTATTTAATATTGGGGTGTAGGGGGGTTAAAATTTTGGGGGGGGAAGGAATTATCGCAAGAGACCCTTTTTGGTCCGCCACTCGCAGCAGACGTCGGTTCTCTTCCAGCGCGGAAGAAGCATGCCTTGAGTCCCCCTAAACCCTAAACCCTAAACCCTAAACCCTAAACCCTAGACCCTGAAGCCCAAACTGGGCCCAACCCACCCCCCCGCCCGCCTGGGTTCAGGGTTTGGGGGGTTTATGGATTTAGGAAGCTTGGGGATTAGGGATATCATCATACTCCCAGACCCTACAACCCTACAACCCAAGGTCAGCTTCCTCCAATCACAGCAATCACAGCGAGGGCGGTCATGCTTTCTCCGCCTCGCAAGAAGGGTTTAGGGTCTAGGGTTAATTGAGGCTGTTTAGGGTTTAGGGTTTAGGGTTTAAGGTTTAGGGTGTGGGGATTGGTGTGTAGGGTCTACAGCACAAGTTTAGGACGGAAGCTCCGCGGACAAGACATGTAGGGATTGAGCTCTAAACCCTAAACCCTAAACCCTAAACCCTAAACCCTAAACCCTAAACCCTAAACCCTAAACCCTAAACCCTAAACCCCTAAACCCTAAACCCTAAACCCTAAACCCTGAACCCAGGAAGTTTCGGGCCGGGATCTGAAGAATGTAAGTTTTTAGGGTACGCCCACTGAGCATGGGACTGCTCTTGCGGCTTCTCCAGGTCTTATCAACTTACACCCCCCCTATATATAAGATTATACATTATATATATATATATATGATATCTTATATACCTTTTCAAAGGGATCATATAAGGTACCCCATTCCCCTATTCCCTACAAAGAACACCCTCTAGCTTCGGCGTGAAGCATCTGGCCGCCCTTCTTGGAGGCCGGAGGTTTAGGGGTTGAAAAAGGGTCTAGGGTGTTTAGGGTTTAGGGTTTAGGGTTTAGGGTTTCGGGTTTCGGGTTTAGGGTTTAGGGTTTAGGGTGTAGGGCTTAGGTTTGTTTATGCTTGTCTTTGGCAAACCTTCAGCCCTAGACTGCTCCGAAACATTGAGCTCTAAACCCCCCAAAACAAAGGCTGGTTCTTACTCGGCAATGAGGGAATGGGGTACCCGATAGAATTCCTTAAAGGGCATATATAGGGCCCTCTTTCCCTCATTCCCGACTAAGAACCAGGGGGAAAAACCGAAACCATGTCAGAGTTTATGGGCTGAACAGAGCGTTTTGGAGCTTCGTGGCGGCTTTGAGGGTTTCGGGGGTAGAGGGAGCCCTAATTCAATACTCATGGGTTCCCCTACACCCCCCTCTATGCTACCCGCCCTGGGTTCCCCCCAGAATGAAGGCAATTTAGGGATAATTAAGCCTCATTGAGGTCATTTAAGGGGGGAACCTAGGGGAATTGTATAAACGGCCTCCTAGAATACCCTAAGCACTAAGCCCTAAACGTAAACCCGATAGCCCAAACCCTGGGTAGGGTTCTGGGTTGTCATTGGCTGAAATCAGGGCACTGGAAGAATACAACCTAAACCCCAAACCCTAGACTAGCCGTAGGATTCGAGTTCTACAGTCCCGAAACTCGAAACCCCCTAAACCCTAACCCCTAAACCCCTAAACCCCTAAACCCCTAAACCCCTAAACCCCGAAACCCCTAAACCCCTAAACCCCTAAACCCCTAAACCCCAAACCCCTAATCCCGAAACCCTAAACCCCTAAACCCCTCAACCCTCGACCGGCAGCACGGGCCTCCTCCTGCTTCGACTCTTGGCTCAACCTCGACCGCCTCTCTTCTCTGTGTCTCGCCTGCAAGGACGGTGTCGGGTTTGGGGTTTGGGGTCGGGGGTTTTAGGGTTTAGGGTTTAGGGTTTGGGGTTTAGGGTTTAGGGTTGCGGTTCAGGGTTCCTTTTCTATCCTGAACCCCGCATAGACTGCTGCATTGAGAACGTGAAGCGTGAGTTACCAATAGCCATTCGCACAAGTGCTAAGACCGGCAACCGTAGAAAACCACAAAAACACCCAACCGTAGAAAAACCAAAAAACCCCTTCCATATATGTCCCGCCGCCGTTGCAACCGTACCCTATTTTTATTGAAAGTTAATGTTTCGCCTAGGCGAAATGCATATTTTGGCAGCTGGAAAAACGAGCCTATTTTTGACGTCGTCGTTGCGAGTCCTCGGGTTTTTGCAAAATTTTGGGGTCCAATTTTGGTTTCGGCTCGCAGAGCAATGCAGTGCGACTTTTGCTTTCTTGCATGTGCCGTCGGGAGGCAAGTGTCAAAGCTTTGCAACGGCTTTGCCGGTTTATTGAAAGTTAGTGTTTCGCCTAGGCGAAATGCATATTTTGGCAGCTGGAAAAACGAGCCTATTTTTGACGCGGCGGCACGTTGATCGGTCAGACGAGCAACGGTGGCCATCATATGCAACGCCGTCCAGTCTCCAGAAAAGCGATTCCACACCAAGCGCCCGCTCCCCATTCCAGGTCGCCCTGTCTCCTGGCTGTCACCCTGCTCGCCGTCGACGACATAGTCCAGCTCGTTTTTCCAGCTGCCAAAATATGCATTTCGCCTAGGCGAAACCCCCAAAGGAAAAGGACGGGTTGGCCAGGGTAGACAGGAAAGAACGGAACTAACCCCCCCCCCCCACCACCCCAAAACCAGGTACGGTTTCACCGCCTTCTGCATATATGTGCACCCCCGACATGCCCCCTCGCAATCATATTAGGGTTTAGGGTTTAGGGTTTAGGGTTGAGGGTTTAGGGACAAAGGCTGTCCAAGGAGGGCAGTTGCATGGTCCCTGAGTATGGGCCGTGAATTGGAGACCCCTTCTGTACCCCTTGTGTGCCCCATTAACACCACGGGCCCATACTTCAGAACCCTTTACCGGTTTAGGGTTTAGGGTTTCCGTACGGGACCATGTAACTTCCCTTAGACCCTAAACCCTGATTCCTGAGTCTGAGTATGCCCCTGTTTTGCAATGGGATGGAGTTGAGGCCACGGCTCTCCCAAACCTAAGGTCTTCAACAAACATTCCCAAATTTCCCAACACAGCTTCAGGATTGGGGAATCACATTTACAGCTTAGGGATTAGAGTCGAGGGTCTAGGGTTGGGTTCCTTGCTGGTCTTAGAATTAGGTAACCTGCTACGTAATGCCTGAATGTGTTGCACAGGGGGATACGACAAGTTCTCGCAATTCCCTGCAAAGAAGTAGTAAGCTTCACTAAGCAATGTTATGGGACCCCGCGGAAAGGCAGGGGGTTTACGAAAATAGTGCACCCCTAGAATAGCGCCCGAATAGTAGATTCCTCATATAATACGGACCCCAATAAGGTACCCTCCCAATTTCGGAAACCGCCATATCCCTTCACCATGCTGGTTACGAATCTGGGTATGCGCTGCATGAAACTGCATTACGGGGCAAGAGTTTCCAACCGCCAAAAATCTAGGATTGCCCGAGAAAGCCCCTAGCAAATCCCTGAACCTCAAACTTCCTAAAACCCGAAACCCCTAAACCACAAACTTCCTTTACCCTGGACTCCCTAAACCCTAAACTTGCAAAAATCCTCCGCCCTGGAGTCTCTTGCCTGGGTCCCTCCAACTGTCCCTTCACAATAGCCCATTCCTCCCACACATACCACAAAAACAGCAACCCGAATCTTCCCCCCCATGTAGGGTTTAGGGTTTAGGGTATAAAGGTTTAGGGTTGTTTGGGGCTTAGGGCCAATTCGGGTGTAGGGTTGAGGGTTTAGGGCTTAGGGCCACACGAATGTTGCAGTAGGGGGGTCGAGGAGGGTTTTTCACACGCGGGGGCAGGGCAAACCCTAAACCCTAAACCCTAAACCCTACACCCTAAACCAAAATGCGCGCTTGCGGCCTTCTGCGCAGCGTCCGCTTCGCCGTCGAAGTAGGCGCCGAGCTTTGGGTTCGCCTTCATCACCTTCTCCTTCCCATGTGTCGAGCTTCGAAGGTTTAGGGTTTAGGGTCGAGGGTTTAGGGTTTAGGGTTTAGGTTTCTGGGCCCTGGGGCTTAAGGGTTTTAGGGTTTTGGGTGAGGGCTTTTAGGGTTAGGGTGAGGTTTGGGGGTTGAGGTTTAGGGTCTCGAGGCTTACAAAACATCTTGTTGTGAACAATTGTTTTTACACTTTTTAGGTTTTCGTTTTTGTTGTGTCAACTCTGCTTTTCAAAGGGTGTGGAGAGGCGTAGGGCCTGGATTGTACCGCCTTCAGGGTGTCCAACATCCTAACCCCTGAACTTCAAACCCTGAACCCTGGACCCTAACCCATAAACCCAACTTGGAGGTTCTTTTTGGGGTTGGCTACGTTATAAGGGAGCCTAGAACCCAAAAAAGGATCAAGGGTACCACTGGGCTACCAAGTAACTACCCAAACCCTAAACCCTAAACCCTGATTTAGCCCTAAACCCTAAGCCCTACAGGCCCTAAACCCAGCAAGAGCCTTCAGCTTGCAGCCTTAAGCTATTCTGCGCTGCGCCTTGCCCAGCACAAAGGGGCTGAGCGGCGGAGAGTCCTGACAGGGGTTCAGGGTTTAGGGTTAAGGGTTTAGAGTGGAGACACCGCGTGCGAGCTCGATGGCCAGAAGGGTTACAGCAAGATCAACCCTAAACCCCAAACCCCTAAACCCCCAAACCCCCAAACCCCCAAACCCCTAAACCCCTAAACCCCTAAACCCCTAAACCCCTAAACCCTAAACCCTAAACCCTAAACTTAGGATAGCCCATCGACCTCCAAGATGTACTTGGACCGCAGGCACTGGATGGGATTCGTCGATAGGTGTGTGGCCGCCTCCTGGCAGGGTCAGTCCAAAAAGCGAGAGGTTTAGGGTTTAGGGTTTAGGGTTTAGGGTTTAGGGTTTAGGGTTTAGGGTTTAGGGTTTAGGGTTTAGGGTTTGGGGTTTAGGGTTTAGGGTTTAGGGTTTAGGGTTTAGGTAACAAGATCCAAACCTGGGGCTTGCGTTCTGTTAGGGCTTAGGGCGGAGGGTTGAGGTCTTAGGGCTTGGGGTAGTTCAAGAGGTCAGGCCAGCTCTCTGGGTACTAGGTTCCCCAGTAACCCAACATCACAAAAGGTGCCCTTTTTGGCCTGAGTTCATGAGGGATCCTGACCCCTTCAAGAACTTCAGGCAATCCAAGCTCCGCGTCGGGCTTGCAGTATGGTTGAAGGTTTGGGGTTGTGGGGTACCTTTCGGGAAGTCCTACACCTACACCCTAAGGCCGAAGCACTGGAGGTCTGAGTCTAGGTCAATACAACAACAATTCTCTACGTGATGGTCCTTTTTGGGTACTCGAAGTATAAGGCCCCGCATGATAATGGGTGCCTTCAAAGTTGGGACCATAAATTAGAAAACTGCCCACATGGAGATGGGTCTGGCAGACACTGCACCCCAAACCCAACTAGGGTCTTGCAGTATGTAAAATATGTGTATGTGTATATATATATATAGTGCACGCATACCTATTTGAGATATCATAAACCTCTTTATGAAACATTATGTCGTATAGAAATCTGTTCTGAAAATTGCTGTCGCAGAATATGAAGAAAGCATGATCTAACGTAGTTTCACAGCATATAAAGAATGCAATATGCTGACGACATGTGGGTATTTCCCAAAATAGGGGTACCCTTTTATACCCCAAACAGAATAGAATCACCTCGAAGGGACCCCCAAAAGGGTACCCCCCCACTTTCGGAAACCCCCATATAGCGCCCGGCAGTCCTCTTCTGCAACTTTTGAAAACGGCACCTCGTTGGCAGCCTCTGCACGCGAATGCTACTTAGACCCCTAAACCGAAACCCGAAACCCGAAACCCTAAACCCGAAACCCTAAACCCTAAATCCTAAACCCTAAACCCTAAACGGGGATGCCATGCCTGCAGAGTTTGCAGTCCGAACCGTGACATGTTGGGATGTTCCCCCTTATACTAGCAGTCCTTAATAGGGTTTAGGGTTTAGGGTTTAGGATGATAACAGGGTGCCATAACCCCTATGAAAATTTTAATAGGGGGTACTACATTCCCTATTAAGATGATAATAGGGGGTACTATTCTCCCAATTAAGGACCGTTAGTATACTACCAATGGCTTAAGAATCCCCCAAAAGATGAAATAATATTTTCCTTATAAGGTAATATAGGGATTATGAGCTTTCATCTTTTTGTTTTTTTTTTTGGGGGGGGTATCTTCAGCAAATAGTAGATTAAGGACTGCTAGTATAAGGGTTGGGGGAACATCCCGACATGGCACCCGATCTCCTTCAAACGCCCTGAAGCCTACGACGCCCTGAGCAAAACACAAGAAGCACCTTGCACCTACCCAGAGAGCCCAACACCCCGTAACTATGGAATATATCTTATAAACTTTAAAGGGGTCCTGAGTATGAGTTAAGTTAAGGGATATTCCTTAGTTAAGGGGTATTGGGCTCTTTGGGTACGATTCTCGCATGGCCTTGTCCGGGTCTGAGCGCATCCTTGCATGTCACCACAAGGTGGCGGGCAGGGGGGCCTAAACCCTAAACCCTAAACCCTAAACCCTCTGCTGGTTGAGGCACGCTCCTTAACAAATGTTGAGGGCATGAGCGTCAGCCCCGCGATTGCGTAAGGGTGGACCCCACTTTTCGTAGGGTTTCGGGCTTGGGGCCTGTCCCCCAAGCCCCGACCGCATAAGGGTGGACCTGCAGATCTTGCGCAAGATTAAACCCCAGAAAAGAAACCTGAAGCTAAATGCTTTAACCGCTGCACTTGGCTGCACTTAGGAGGGTAGCTATAAATTAAATTTTTAGCGGCCTTATTAAGAAACCCAATAAGCCCAAAAAGGCTAAGGATCTAAAGTTGCAGTAAAGCACCACAAAGTGCACAAGAACTAAGAAGACGGTCTGGGTCAGGATGCTTGAGAAAGTGTCTTTGACGAATCTTGCTTGAGTCGAGAAGGTTGGATCAGCAAAGAATGAGGCGGCACTGCGTGGCTATGGGGCAGCCATCGCAAACTGGCTTTCTCGGTCCCTGTACCCGATTTGAATGGTATCCACCAGCAATCAGCTCGTGCATGCATTCCCTGTCTGTCGATCCGAAACCACGAAGCACGAACAAAACAGAAGCCTGAAACGGGATGCTTCATGGGATCCTAGATACTACCCCACCCGGGTAGTTGTGTGAGTAGGGTCATATTTAATTAACCTGAATACATGGAAGCTCTTTGACGTAGTAAGTCTGCGTAGTGTCCCCTAGAAATCTTTAAACTACTCCCTAACCTAGCTTACGAACCCTGCTTGCTGAGTCAACAGGGCTTCCAAGTAGGGTTATAAGCATAGTTTCCACACCTGTAGCCCCACAACCACCTACAAACCTCCCAGTAGACGACCCCACACTAAACCCTAAACCCTAAACCCTACACCTTAAACCCTAAACCCTAAACCCTAATCTTGCCAAAGGAACGGCTTGACGACAAAGCTCAACCTCCAGGGCAGGGCGCTGTGGCTGGGAACGTTGGGAGCCATCCCTACTCGTTCTCCAAAATATGGTCCCTTTCGCGAGTCCTCATAATAAGGCGTCCCCTAGTATCTGGGGTACCCCAAAAGGGACTATAATTTAGAATTTAGAGTACTCACCGTACGGGTTGTTCTCTAGATTGGGCTTCCCATGTAAGTAGGGCACCAGAAAACAGGAGCCCATTTTGGACTCTCTTTTTCGAAAAGTAAGGTATCTTCCTCAAGTATGCAAAATGTACTCCCTGGATGAACTGGATACATGTGGAGGTTTCATGGGAGCCAGTAACAAGTAAGTTCCAAGTTGCTCTCATAAAATGCAAGTTCGAAGTACAAGCGCTCCAACTTTCATGCCCAATGCTTCTAAACCCCCGAAACCCTAGCAACCCTAAACTCCAACAACCCTAAACCACAATACCCCTCAACTCTATACTAACCCTAAACTCACCCTAAACCCGAAACCTTTCTTCAAAAAGGCAACTAACCCTCAACTCAAATAGCTCTAAAACACCCTAAACCCTACACCTTCACTCACCAGCTAACTAACTAACCCTAAACTCTGATAGCCCCAAAAACACCCTAAACCAGAACCCCTAGACCCTAAACCCAAAACCAGAACCCCCAAACCCTAAACCCTAAACCCTAAACCCTAAACCCCTAAACACTAAACCCTAAACCCTAAACCCAAAACCTTCCTTCAAAAGCCAAGTCAGGTGACAGCGCGAGGTGCACGATGACGTGGAGGGTAAAGGCCCCAGCCATCGCGCCCCACAGCGCCGGCCCCTTGAGCACCTCAAGTTGCAGCAAAAGGACCCCCAAAGAGCAATGAATAGGGTTTAGGGTTTAGGGTTTAGGGTTTCGGGTTTAGGGTTTAGGGTTTCGGGTTTGGGGTTTAGGGTTTAGGGTTTAGGGTTTACGAGCTGGCGTTTAGGGTACAGGGTTTCGAGATTAGGATATCTTACGGGGTAGAGTTTTACACAGAACGGGGATCCCTACATGTGTAGTTAGTTCACGTGGTCTTGGGCTCCCTAAACCCTAAACCCTAAACCCTAAACCCTAAACCCTAAACCCTAAACCCTAAACCCTAAACCCTAAACCCTAAACCCTAAACCCTAAACCCTAAACCCTAAACCCTAAACCCTAAACCCTAAACCCTAACCCGGGTTGCCATTCGCAAGGGAGCCGAGTGCGATGATGGCGACCATGATCTAATGTTTGCTAAAGAACCCCCCCCCAAAAAAATGAAAGATGATAATCCCGACTGTATATTGCCCTTAAATTTAAGAACCCCCCCCAAAAAAATGATAGATGATAATCATATTGCCCTTATAAAGGAAGTATATTGTTTTCCATCCTTTGGGGGCAGGGGGTTCTTAAGCAACGTGTTCAGGACAGGACGAGACTTAAGATTGAGGTGATGATGGCAACATGGTGATGCTGATGCTGGTGGTGATGATGGCGACGGTTATGCTGACTCATGGCGACTGTTATGATGACTGTCGCGACTTTGCTGACGAAGATGACGATGATGATGGTGGTGGTGCTGGTGCTGGGATGTTTCTTGTTATTGTTCCTGTTGTTGCTCCCCTAAACTACCCCAAACCCGAAACCCTAAACCCTAGGCCCTTCACCCTAAACCCTAAACGGTGGCGGATGATGATCCTCATCTTCATTTGATCCCAATCGTGTCAACAGCCAACCGTCTGAAGTAAACCAGGACCCTACTTGGAGGTTCATGGGCAGTTATAAGTGGTGCTCCAGGGGCCTTAAACGGGGTTATCAGTATGGTTACCATACTGACAACCCTACCTATACCTACGCAGATGAACCTTCAAGTGGCCCTAAACCCTAAACCCTAAACCCTATACCCTAAACCTTAAGGGACTCTTCATTACCCATGAGCCCCCAAATCAATCCTTAAGAAACCGACGTCAGCTGCTGACAAGCTGCTCCAGAGCCTAGTCCTCCATTCACGCCTCCACTCATCCTTGAGATCATGAATGGAGAGTACTCGGAGGTTCATGATACTTATTAACCAATGGTTTAGGGTTTAGGGCTGCTTGGAGGTTCATGGTACTTCTAACTGTACTTATAACTTATAACTGTACTTATAACTGTACTTATAACTGTACTTAAGTGCCCTAATGTGGCTATAAGTACAGTCGAGTAGCCAGAGGGTTCAGGGGTTTGGGGGTTTAGGGGTTTAGGGTTGAGAGGGGTTTAGGGTTTAGGGATTTAGGGTTTAGGGGCTTAGGAGTTTGGGGACATACTTGGAGGCTCATGTGTAGTTATTAGGGTTGTAAGAACCCTTAATGAAGTTGTAATTAGGGTTATTCTAAGTACCCTTGACGGATCTATAACCCTAACTGTTTGGTTGTCTTGTTCTCGGGCCGCCAGCACAGTGGCGCCTACTTATACTTGCACATTGGGGCTTTCGCTTGTCCACCGTTCCAGCTCGCAAGCCCCGTCAGGTGTCTTCTTTCCATTGAGGACTATGTTCTAGTACGGTTTGTGTGATTTGCGTCTTGGGTGCACCAAAAAGGATGGAAGGAGAACGGACCATGTAGTCCTTGGCCTTGCAACATTCTCCCTCAACCCCCTGGACCCCAAACCCCTGAACCCGGGCTGTGCAACCCCAAGATTCCCCAAAGCCCTTGAACCCTCAACACCTTTCAGCCAGGCTTCTGGTTGAATTTGAAAACGCCGCTTGCTGCAAGCACCCCCAGCGGCAGGCTGAGCAGCTGCTGCCCGAACCAGTGCACCTAGGTTTCTGGGGCGTTTTGGGTTTCCAGGATTTAGGGTTGAGGGTTTGTGGGGTTTTAGAGGGCTTATGGAGCTCTATCGTCCCTGCCATGAGAACATCAAGTAGAAACCAGGTCTCAGGATGTACAACTGACTTTCGGGTGTAGGTTTAGGCCTTTTAGGGCTGAAGGATTTAGGTTTAAGGGTTAGGGTTTAGGGTTTAGGGTTTAGGGTTTAGGGTTTAGGGTTTAGGGTTTAGGGTTTAGGGTTTAGGGTTTAGGCTTTAGGGTTTAGGGTGGCTTCCCATTCACAGCGGCATTGCGTGCGCTCATGGCAGTTCAGGGACCTCATCGCTGGAGAAGTAGAACTTCCGTGCCCATCGAAGGGTCTTCCAGTGGTCATACCAGTAGATATACCTGTGGCAGCGGCATGGTGACCCTAAACCCTAAACACTAAACCCTAAACCCTAAACCCTGGCCAGGGTGAGTTCCCTAAAGTATGGTCCTTTTCTGGGGTTCTCCTACAAGGCTGCAAGGCGGCCCCTATTACATTAGGGTACCCAAAAGGGACCATAGTTCACAGAACTGACCATATTTCAGTTGGGGGCTGAATACCCTAGCCCAAAAGGTTAACCTTTTCTAATAAGATTATTTAGAAAACTTTTATAACCAAAAAGGTTACAGGTTCTCTACCCAGCCCCCTTAAGGAATTGTCAAAAGGAGGTCTTGCATCGAGTAGGATTCATTCTTCCATCACTCTGGGCGGCCACAGACTCCCTAAGCCCCAGATCCGGTTTAGGGTTTAGGGGGTTTAGGGGGTTTAGGGGGTTTAGGGGGTTTAGGGTTTAGGGTTTAGGGTTTGGGGTTTACCTTTCTCGAATCACTCTACAGTAACTACCAAACGTGGAAGTGCCAGCTACGGATGCTCAATCCATGCAGGGTGCAAGTGGGACAGCATGAAGGTGCCATAGGTCATCGCCATGTAGGCCTTGCATGCGGCGCGAACACTAGCCGGAACTACACCAGCCGGATGCCGGCCGGAGCCGAACCCTAAATTCCAAACTTGGGGATGTTCTCCCTTATACTCACAGCCCTTCAGAGGGATGATAAGAACCCCGATGATAATCCCTATGAATTAAGAACTGTTCGTAGAAAGGGGGAACATCCCAACTCTAAACCCTAAAGAGACCCCAACGGGTGTCCTTGTGCGCAGCATCCCTCTCTTACTCTAAACCCTAAACCTTAAACCCCTAAACCCTCAACCCTCAACCCTAAACCCTAGCGGCCCAGCGGCTGGCGCTATGAACGGTATGCAGGCAACGAGGATGAGGTTGAAGATTACGTCCGCGTATCTGCCCTGCTCCATCTCGGACCTTAGAGACAACAAATAACACCAAAACTAAATCACGGTAGTACCGGGGTAGTTTGGGGGGGGGGGGGGGCGCTGCGAAAACTACACATTATGTTCCAACCTCCCGGCATAGCGAACAGAAAGACCAAATGCAGCAGAGTGAAAGCACGCTCCGGCCGAACCAGAACTTCGAAGGGGGAGGGCGGTTCAACAAAACCACGCTCGTGCTACTTAAACGCGCTGATAAGGAAACCCGGCCGGAACCTTAACAAAAAGGACTAAGCGCCGACCCTGGGTCCTAGAAACCCCTGAACCCTGAAGTTTAGGGTTTAGGGTTTAGGGTTAGGGTTTAGGGTTTAGGGAACCTGAACCCTCCACTAAACCCTAAATCCTAAGCACGGGTCCTAGGCGAAGTGGGTCCAGGCTGACTCCCAGACACCTTGATTAAGGAATATGCCTTAAAACATACTAGGGCCCCTTGCATGGTTTAAGGAATCCCTAAACCCCAAACCCCAAACCCTAAACCTTATGTAATTAGGGGGTCTGAGAGTCTCTGGCAGGCTCCTGGCCAGGGCACAGCTCCAGGGCCCGTTCTGCGTTCTCCCCGCGGACTCTCCTTCGTTGCGGATTGGGTCCAGGGAGTTCCCAGTTCCGGTTCTGGCCTGAAGGAGCTCTCAGCCCTAAACCCTAACCCCCAAACCCTAAACCCCAAACCCTAAACCCTAAACCAGGTTTGGGTTTGCTTGCGATGCTGGCATTCTGCCGGCCGTCATTCTGCAGGGGCTGCAAGCATGTGTGGTGCACTATGCCGTTTAGGGATTTAGAGGGTTTACGGTTTAGGGTTACCCTAAACCCCAAACCTTAAAGTTTAAGGTTTAGGGTTAGGGCCGTAGGCGTCCGCCACCGATATCAGCTCAGTGGCGCATTGCTGCGGATAAGCAGGGAGCCGATGTGGTAAGGGCCTCGCAATCTCGCCCCCTCCGGCATTCTTGCATGAATCCTCACTTTGTTAACCCTAAACCCTAAACCCTAAGCTCTAAGCCCTAAGCCCGAAGCATCCCGAAGCATCCCTACTAGCATCCCTCAGCCCTCGACCCTAAGCCCTCGTCACGGAGTGCTCAGCTCCCTGAACCCCGGGACTCCAGTACCCTTTCATGAGGGAATATTCATTTTAGGGTTTAGGGTTTAGGGTTTAGGGCTTTAACCCCCCCAAAAAAGTTTAACTTTTAGCTCCTTTAAAATGAAATCAGAGGAACCCCAAAACTCATGAAGTGCTAAAGTTGTTGTAAAGTACCACCTAGCAAAATATGAGAGGGTGCAGGGCTTTAGGTTTTAGGAATATTCCTTAAAATCTGAGAGGGTTCGGGTTAAGGGTTTAGTTTAGGGTCTAGGGTCTAGGGTTTAGGAAAATCCCTTGAAATATGGGAGGGCTCCTTCTATGGTTTAAGGAATGTCCCTAAACCCTAAACCCTAAACCCTAAACCCTAAACCCTAAACCCTAAACCCTAAACCCTAAACCCTAAACCCTAAACCCTAAACCCTAAACCCTAGGGTCTTGGAGTCGCTGTCAACAGGCCGCCCTGCCTAGCTGCGCCAGGAAGGGCTCCACCGCAAAGGGCACCAGGAAGGTACAGGGCCAACCTTTGAATTCAGGTTTAGGGTTTAGGGTTTAGGGTTTAGGGTTTAGGGTTTAGGGTTTAGGGCTTAGGGTTTAGGGTTTGCGCATGGGCGTGCTTTTTAGGAGGTTTTCCGGTTCAGGGTTTTTCGGTTTGGGGTTTTGGGGTTTTTGGGGCTTTCATTAGGTTAGCAGTTTGGGCTTGGGAGCTTTGCTTAGTTGAGTTTGGCGTGGGCGTGGGAGGGGGGGGGGGGGGGGGAAGTCCAAGATGTAAGGAGAAAGGCAGAAAACCGGAGTGCAACCAGAGCACACGAATCCCAAACCCTAAACCCTACACCCGAAACCCCTGAATTCCGAAACTCCAAAACCGGAAGCCCCACCGGGCTGTTGTTTCCTAAGCAAAACCAGTCGCCACTCAGGATCTTGAGTCTGGAGCCCAGCGGCAGTACTTGAACAAGAGCTTGCCCACAGACTTCTGCATGGGGAACGACTCGAAAATCTCCTTCCCGGTGTGGGCCAGAGCCGCCAGAAACCCTAAACTCCAAACCCGGATGAAGAGGATGTAGGGTTCAGGATTTAGGGCAGGAATCTGTCCTGGAAGCTTTCCAGGCTGCCCAGGAGTCGGCCGTCTGCCACGCGCGCGCCCACACCCACCATCTGAAGGTAGCTGAGATAACCTCAGGGCTTAAGGTTTCTGGATGACCGAGTTGCCATCAGCATCCACGCTGGCCACCCCAAAGCAACTTTGGTGGTCAATGGTAGAGACCCTAAACCCTAAACCCTAAACCCTAAACCCAGAATGATTCATCCAACGACCGAAGCCCCAAACTGTGGCGGCTGTGATTAAGTTGCATCCTTGTTGCCCTGGAGGGCGATATCCATGACGAGATTGAGAATCAGTGCGGCGTTGTAGAAGATGATGTAGACTCTGTGCTTCTGATCCTGGCCATATGGGTGGCTGTCAAGATGATGATCCCTTTTTTGGGGAACCCTAAATATTAGGTGCCGTATTCTAATAGGGATCCAAAAAGGGACCAGAAATTTGACAACCACCTAATATGAAACACAGTCCGTGAAGGCCGATTATGACCGGCCTCCTGACGCGGCAATTCTTCACCCAGAGGTGCCCAAGATCTCTTAGCTAAACAAATACATCTTCACATGAAGGATCCCTGCGTAGTTTAAGATGTACTCCTTAACTCACCTGAGTTGTCCAGTAACCTGGGGGAACTAAAGGTTAACCTTTAGGATTATAAGGGGATTATGTTACCCCAAAAAAGGTTAAAGGTCACCTACTCTACTACTAAGTCACAGATAGCAGCATTGGGCTCTCCGGGTCCCAGCGGATGCCAAACACAACCTCACAAACCGAGGCCCGCCTCATAGTGGCACCGACCTCAGCCATCGTTTAGGGAAAAGGGTTTAGGGTAAGTGTGTGTAAAGTCGTGGATTCCTTTCCCTGGGGGTTAACGGTCTCACAAAGTGTCTGGAGCAGCCGACGGCCGCCGTTCAACCCTGAAATTCAAATCTCATAAGGCCTAAACCCTAAACCCTAAACCCCAAACCCCAAACCCTAAACCTAAACCCTGAAGGTTTTGGGCTCGCGTTGCGAGATGCGCATCTTCGGCTGACCTTCTTGGAGACTTGGAGGGTTGTAGAGGGTTTAGGGTTTAGGGTTTGGGGTTTTGGGTTTGGGCAAAATGTTTCTCCAGGTACAGTGAACAGTTTGCGAGACGTCGTGCTCGCGTAATGAATTAGCGCACGCGCTACGTCTGAGCGGTGCGCGCCAATGCAAGCAAGAGCTTTTCCATGCAAAACACAGGCAGTTCGTGCCTCTAGCTCGGAACTCTAAGCCTTCTGCCCTAAGCCCTAACCCTCTAAGCCCTAAACCCTAAACCCACACCACCTCAAACAACTCTGAACTGGAGAGGGCCATGCTGCTGATCTCTGTATCTACTCGACCTGGGTGACGAGGATGCCCAGCTAACCAGGATGCCCGGCAAGCTCAGGGTTTAGGGTTTAGGGTTTAGGGTTTAGGGTTTAGGGTTTAGGGTTTAGGGTTTAGGGTTTAGGGTTTAGGGTTTAGGGTTTAGGGTTTAGGGTTTGACTCCGATACTCCTTAAACCACATTAGGGTTTAGGGCTCAGAGTTTAGGGTTTGGGATTCAAGAGTTTAGGGTTTAGGGGTTTCCCTTAATTACAAGGGTATTGCAGTCCCTGGGAATACACCGGCCCAACTCTAAAGTGGTGAGTACAGGTCTACCGGCCGTCCTAGCGAAGTCATGTAGGCCAAGGAAAGCTCGAGCATGAAACCTTTGGCAGTGCAAGCGCAAATTACCGCCTGTTCGCGCCAGCAGCCCAAGGCTACAGGGAAAGGCGCGGGTGGAACGCGGCCAGAAAGGGAGCTAACGAATCTCGAACTCCGAGACCCCTGAACCCTAAACCTTGAAACCCTATGCACCAACTCAGAGCCCCATTTTTTTCAGCCCCAACCACCTCTGCTGAGCATCCCAAAACCCTAAACCCTAACACCTTTTTGGGAGGTTTAGGGTTTAGGGTTTAGGGTTTAGTGTTTTGGGTTTAGGGTTTAGGGTTAAGGGTTTAGGGTTTAGGGTTTAGGGTTTACTTAAGAACCAACTCATTAACAAACAAACGCTTCCTTATAAGGGCAATCTGGGGATTGTGATCTCTCTTTTTGGGGAGTAGAAAACCCAAGAAATAGTAAATCAACCTCGCATGCCCTCCACCCCGAAAGCCCTCAAACATTTCAGGTTTCAGGGGTTTAGGTTGAGGTTTTCGGGTTTTTTAGGGCTTCAGGGTTAGGATTTTTTCCGGTTTCAGGGTTGTAGAGCTTTAGGGTTCCAGGTTTTTGGGGTTTCAGGGTCTTAGGGTTTTTGGGTTTCAGGGCTTGAGGGTGTTTTAGGGTTACTAGGCTTAGGGTTTTGGTTTCAGGGGTCAAGCCCTGAACTTCAATGCCCGACCCCCCACCCCCCCGCCGCCCTCAACATTTTCCTTTCATGGGCAGGTAGCCCTCGAGTCCTTCAAACAGGAAGGACCTTGGGAGATTGTATCAAATCCTCAGAGGAGGACTTTATTTGCGAACATGTTGTTGAAGAGTTTTTAAGGCCAACATAGGTTTGTGCCCTAAACCCTAAACCCTAAACCCTAAACCCTAAACCCTAAACCCTAAACCTTAAATCCTAAACCCTAAATCCTAAACCCTAAACCCTAAACGCTCGTCGCCCTTGTCGTTGTCTCACTTGTGGCCAGTCCGGGCACCCCAGAAACCTATGAACACCTTTGGAATACGCGCTCCGTGCCTCGCGAAAGGGTTTAGGGTTTAGGGTTTAGGGTTTGGTTTAGGATTTAGGGTTTAGGGTTTAGGGTCTTCACCGAGACGCGCGAGGCATGGGCTAGATCTCTTGCCAGCCGGGTTTAGAGGTTGCTTCTAAGGAACGTACCTTAGTTGTCTAGTACCCGGGGGGATCTAAAGGTTGACCTTTAGGAGTACAAGGGGATTACATTACCCCAAAAAGGTTAGAGGTTACCTACTCTACTACTAAGGAGTACACCAAGCGACAATACTTTGGATACACAGCAAGCGACGCGCTTTCCTTAGTGTCGCAGCGTAGTTGAAGCTCCCTAACACCAAGCCAGGCTTATGGCTTCCCTAAACCCTGAACCCTAAACCCTAAACCCGAAACCCCTAAACCCTAATTCCCTAAACCCCTAAACCCCTAAACCCCAAACCCCTAAACCCCTAAGCCCCTAAACCCTAAACTACTAAACCTAAACACCTAAAGCCTAAACGCCTAAACCCTTAGAGCTACGGGCTTGAAGTTCCTGGAACATCTTGCCCATGCCTCCGAGCCGAGCGGGGAAGTTCTCAAACGCTGGATCCCGCATCTGCCTCCCTGCCTGAAACCCTAAACCCTAAACCCTAAACCCTCAGCCCTAAGCCCTAAACCCTAAACCCTAAACGCTAAACCCTAAACCTTTTGTTTGCTACTTCCCCACCCCTGCTGACTAAATTTCCCAACATCCGACCAGCGCAACGGCACATGACCGCACCCCCTCAACCCTAACCCACACCTTAAACTACTATTTGCTTAAGAAA